AGTCGCGCCCGGCTGGCAAAAAAATGGTGTGCGGCGGAAGTGAGTCCCCTCCTCGTGAGCAGACGAGGCGATCCCAGACTTTCCGAGTTTTCGGGGGTCGTCGGCCCAGCAGCATCTTTGCGGGCTTCGTGAGCCCGAAAGAGGAATGAGTTCCGAAACAACTCCCTGGGACAACCAACTGGGCACGGGACTGGCGCGCGTCGGCAGTCGTCGAAATTTTTTTTATTCGACCCTTGGAGAGAGAGAGAGAGATTCTCTCTCTCTACCCTGGGGGGGATTGACGGTACTACTTGGGGGTGCGGGCCCCCTGTCTGGGAGAGGGGGCATCTACGTATGTTCCATGTATTAAAAAAAATCTTTCGCCCCTTGCTGGGGGGGGTTTGGGGGGGACTGGGGGGCCCTTTACGTTTCAAAAATTTCTCCCTCTCCTTTCACCACCACCCACCACCATTCCCCCCCCCCCCCCCCCCCTAATCTCCCTCTCTCTCCCTCTCCCTCTCCCTCCCTCTCCTCCCTCTCGCTCCGGCGCTCGCTCCGATCATATTCGCCATGCCGGGAGCGAGAGTCATCCCGAGATCCCGACGGCGATTCGCTCAACCGCCCGCTGTGCCGTTACGAAATGAAACAATGTGGTCAAACCCGGACGGCATCTTCATTCTTCAACCTCCCCACTGAAACCCCGACGGACTTTCCAGCCCAACTCCGCCATGGATCCGCTCGAAGAGTATGCACGCCCCCAGCCGCCTTCAGCCCTTCACTGCCCTGCCGCGCAACCCCTCTCGCACAGCACGCTCGCACTCGCAATCCCTTCGCCACAGCGTGGCTCAGCCTCTCCCATATCTCAAGTCTCAACCCCGCGAATGCGCAGGTACACGTGGATTGTTGTCTTTGGCGCGATTGCTGCAACCTTCACCGCATTTGTGCGCCTCGCGCCCCGGCCCCCTACCGACCCCGCGCGCGAAGCGAGACCCGCCCTACCCGTTCGCAGGGCATCGGAGCCAACGACGTGGCCAACGCGTACGCCACCTCCGTTGGATCCAAGGCCTTGACCATCAAGCAGGCCTGCTTTGTCCACAGCCGCCCCTCACATGCAGCTCGCACCAGGGCTCGACACCGGGCTCTCTCATCCCAGTCGTGGCGGCGTGTGTGAAGGATGCGCGGCCGAGCCGCTGCCTGGCGCCGCTTGAACGTCTGAGAGCAGCCTCCAGGAGGCGGAATGGGTCGCGGTGCATGTCGCCATCGGCCTTCGGGGGTGGGTCCGGGGCCAGGCCACTCTCGGCGCCCGAAATACCCGGCGCAGAGCCCGGCATTGGGGCCGCGCGCGGACGAACGCAAACCCTATAGGGTTTGAGGGCGCCCGCACGAGATAAACTAGGCCTTCTTCTTTCAGAAAGATGAGAAAGACGGAGTGCGCTGGGTTCCGGCTCCTACCTAGATAGGGGGTCTGTCCCCACCCGTTAGACCCTGTGCAATAGGTAGATAGGTCCGGTTTTGACCGCCCCAGAGGGCCCCGCAATAGGTAGGTTGGTAGTGGTGGTGTGCGTGTGGGGGTGGGGGGGGCGGGGGGGGGGGGGGGGTAAAAAACCCGAAGAGAGGAGTGGGGGAACCGGTTCCGCTCGCGCGGGCGGGAGACGGCGCGTTTAGCCGCGAACGGGGCCATGCCAGTGCAGACGAGTCGCCTGCGGTTGGGACGCCAGCCGAGACGGGTGCGGCGGGCGCTGGGAGCCTATTCACAGAGGGCTCAACGGGTATTTTTCGCTTCGTTCGCAGCGCGGCCTGGGAATAGGTAGGTAGGTGGGGCACGGAGCCTGGCGGTTGGCGCCCGCAATAGGTAGGTAGGTAGGGCGTTTTGGCGCGACTCTATCTGGGTAGGAGCCGGAACCCTGCGAGGGCACCTCGTCGCTCGGTAGTACAGCTGTCGCCGACTGCTCCCACTCCGCTGCTGCCTCATCGCGCCGTCGAGCTCTTTCTACCTGCAGCACGGCCACCGCGCCCACGCCTTCTCGGTCGCCTTCGATCCAGACCTCGAGCGCTTCGTCTCCGGCCGAGGCGTCGTCGCCCACGCGACTTGCAGGTTCCTCAGGAC